GACAAGCGCAAGCATATATTTAGAAAGATGGTCTAACTTTGATTTAATGAGGAATAAGAAAAACCATTGAAGGGACAATACATTCTATATCCAAAGAGAACCAAAATAAATCCTTAAATAACATCTTATATATACAACCAACTTTATCAGACTCCTTATTGCAAGCTTGAGGTAATTTATTTGTTATAATCCGATAGTATTTAGTATTATAATGTTTGCTCAACCCTCCTTTAAAACCTACGTCATCCTTTGTTTCCGGCTAGCAATGACACTCCAGTGTTCTTCTTCGGTCAAGTTCTCGATGCTTGCGCGTCATGTGCAGCCTGCCGTTAACGTTTCGACTGCGTTCTCAGACAGTGTTTTCTCAGGTGTCCTGAGCTCAACTACCAACGCACTTGGTGTGCTATTATCCTAAGAGGCATGAGGAACCGCGGCGACCCCAGAAAACAGTACCTACAGCATTGACATGCGAGCATCGGCTGTAAGAGTGCTTCACGAGTGTAGAGCGTCTGCCTTTTTGCAACAGCTACTCATCTCCGACAACTCTCAATATGACAGATCCTTATGGTTAACCAACTAATTATGCACCATCGAGTATATGTTCTTAATACTAAACAGCGAGAGTATGAGGCGGAGACTGTCCAGCAAATAAACAAGGCCATCATAGCGTTAGAAGACAGCAACAGCCTCTACAATAATAGGTGCTTCGCGTTTTGGACAGTTTAGTATCCCCCCCGGCGCGCAGACTTATATCACCCCTTGTGATAAGATACCCAACAAATATGTGCAATATATACTATAAGATGCCGTTAATACACTGTGTAAATATACTACGAAACCTGGCTGCTAAATCCCTTGTACGACAGTTACACAGGTAATGCGCGTATTTTTTCTTAATTATGATACAGACTGTGAGAATGTGGTCTATATCAATCATTAGTACTTTTTTTTTTATGCATGGACAAATATTTAAACATAAATGTAAAATAAGCTTGTCTGTGGCTCTAACTACTGCCATTTCCCTCCGGTGGACTAATAAAGCGGGTAATTCTGATTCCTGGATTGCATCACAGTAAAGTTTATTTTACTCCCATTTCGGGATAAAATTATGGCAAAACGTTTCTTAAAAGTACCTGCACACAGTCGTCTTTCAATTTATACCTTGAGCTGGATACTGGGGTAATAAAAACCACAATCTAACTTCTAAATCGCTAGTTATTTAGAATGATGCTGACGGTAATGGATACGTTTGATATAGAATACGAATTGGGAGGGATGAAAGCCCTCTTTACTGGTCACACGCGCAGAGCAACAACAGTGAAATGTGTTCTACTGCACTAACTCCATCCTAGTACAGGAGTTCTAGTACCTTGAGGAGCAGTGGGTAAGCTATTGTACAGGCCCGGAGGCCGTACATAACAGTCACACCCCTGATAACGGCCCCTAAATGACCAACTTGCAGTGCCGATAAGCTCCCTCACCTCTTCTTATCTTCGTCCTTCCCTCTCGGAGTGTGGTCGACATCAGTGAGTTTAACGGCCCTTGCGCCTTGCGGCACAGCATGGCGCCGGCTGCTCACCCACACTGCCCAGCACCAGCACAATGCCGTCCCTATTCCAGTCAGGGCACGGTGGAAGGTGGTGGCGCCTGCATTCACCTAGCGAGCGAAGACAAAAAAGGCACATTAGAGGTGGAACGCTGCCATAAAACTTATAAAATGTGGTAATAACCACACAAAAAAGCGCACTGGCGAATATCACATTATATGACGTACACATCATCATATATACACATGGTGTATTGCCCCATCCTCACAACATCAATCATCAACAGCACATTAAAACATGGAGAACACATATACTGTAAAAGTAATTGAGGAGTCAGCAGTCAATAGGCAGGCTGGAGATTACAAGCAAACAAAAGAGGGGGCAGTCGCACATGCAGGTCGAATTGTTTCAGCACAGAGTTCAGGTCCACAGCTAACTCTACAGCAGAGTTATTGCTAAAATGAGCTAAAGATATCTGACACTTGTCAGTGTATAGTACACATACAAGATCCTTGTTGTTATACTTCCTCAGGTGAGGGTTTACATGCATTTATTTAGAGTTCCAAATGAAAGAAAAACACAACTTATTTGTCATAAGAAAATTGATATCAAATATAAATACTTGTTAATGGTAATTAGTAATAATTATTTTTAAAGCAGGCAAACGGTAAGATGTGACTTCAAAATGTGTCTTAAAAGCAACACGGTTACATCCGACGTAATGTGGTTACTACACTTAAACGTGAATTTCTTAAGTTACGACAGATGAGAATTCACCGCATTAAATGTCATGATTTAGGTCTGCATTTGATCTTTTCTCTCCAAATTGACAAATGAGGTCACTAGCTAGAGATTTATAGCCATTTGATATTCTGTTTTAAACGTATATGCATTTTAAACATGCTGCATCTCATGGGCCAGACGTGTCATTGACAACACACAGTACACCTCATACAACTGGTCCAACTGAAGCATTGTCTCACAAGAAGCTTTGCATACACTTGGTGAGAGAAGAAAATGAAGAGAGAGAGCGGAGTGAGAGAAAGATAGGGAACCTTCCAGTAGTCCAGGATTTAGGACCCGCTGGACTCTCCTTCAATATCTAGCCTCTCGCCATCCACATTGGTGTCAAGGGCCTCCAGCTCTTAGCTGGGTCAGCAGCTGCCGTAGATAACATGCACACACACACAGGCATATTGGGACATTTCACACAGCGGGGCCGATGTTTGGCCACATTACACGTATACTAGCTTTTATAAAATAACATAACCGTAAGCAGATATAATGCCATTGAAGAAAATGTAAGCTGATTTTTAAATGTTCTATATGACAAGGGCAAACATGTAGACCACATGATCATCAAGACAAATATTTAGCTTTGAGGGATGCTTTACGTACCCATAATTCATTTCACTACCTGTGCTAAACAGTATACTTTGCAGATTGATAGATAGTTGACAAATTATAGGAAAAACAACAACAACAAGTGTCTTTGTTAAGTGTTGACAAACCACAGGACTTTAAAAAAGCTTCAGGGTTTGTTGGAGTAAATATTAAACAAAGTTCAGAGACCTTTAAGGAAAGAAGTTATTTTTACTGAAAGAATCTTTTATAAAATATTCCCTCGCTTACTGTTTCTGGTGATGGTGGAACACACTGTCTTACACACCAATCCACAATATAACACAAGCTTTAACTGGGCTCATAAAAAACATCCACATTACCTATGTCTATCCACACAGTAGCTTAGGTTTTTCCTTTAATTTGTTCCTTTCTGTATGCGTAGATGAATAGTGAAGCACTAGTGTTGGCTGTACTTGTAGGTGGTTTATTGTTCATATGTTATTCAGTAACTATGAGTTTAATGACAGACCTCTAACCAAAGTGCTTGGTTAATGTCAGTTGGGAATCCAAGGCTTCAAAGCCTAAGTAGGATAAATAAGTTAGGTTTTGAGGAGAGAAGAAAAAAGTGTCATAACATAAATACCACGGTGTATATATATATATATACACAGTATAACTATGTACAAGTAACATGAAGGAACCTACCACTTGGAGAGAAGTGCAAGTGCCTTGCAAGAGCTTTGTCTATTTCAAGGAAGGCCTTCGTTATAACTACTTCCAGATCGGACTCCTCTGTCACAAGGTCCCTGAAACAACAACAAAAGACAGAGGATCAGAAAATCAGCTATAACAGGTATACCTAGGCAATCATGTGACAATGGTTGGTATGTGATAAAGCCATATTTGATGATTTGCCTACTTGATGTATTTCTCCATGTATTTTAGACAAAAATCTGCCGCTTCTGGCCCGCCATGTCCATCAAACACAGCAAAGTAGAGGATGCTGTCGGTCATTTGGGAGACCTGGTAGCGGTCTTCATTGTCCTTGCGTTGCCCGATGAGCGAGGCACAGCCTACCTTTGATAAACTGACTTTGGGAATGGGCTTGCCGTAGCGGATGCTGGAAGGCAGCAGAATTGGCTCATCGATACGATCGTCCCAGATGCCAAATGAATCCCAAGTAGTTGGGGTTCCACTGCCGTCTGAATCAAAGCGTGTGTTGCTGTACCGTTTTCCTGAAGGGGTGTAAAGCTGTCTCTGGGTGAAGTGGAGGTGGCTGTCCTGCTGGAATGGTAGTGGGAGTAGGCCCCTCTGTAAAAGACCACTACGTCCCACTTGAGGACCACTGCATCTTGCCAGGCGTACGAGACAGGCTGCGGACATCCCCGTGACAGCAGAAACACTGGAGAAGCACTGGATAAAGAGGGATCTGCTGTCCAAACAACGGAGACGACATCTATTAGTTTTATTAGATACGGAACTTTTTGAACATTACAAATGACTTTGCAGTTTTTCCAACCTCACATTACCAAAGGATATCAAAATACTGCAGCTATTGCTACAAACTAATTTAAGGACTCCAGTAGATCGAAAGCTGTTAGTGGATTTCTGCCATTACACACAGACAATGGAGAAAAACAATCTCAAGATTTAGTAATAGCAGAACATCAGCTGTAAGTGAGTCAGTCATTGTTTCACAACTTTCAAATCTCACCCCAAATAATCCTATTACACATGTATGTGTATATATATTTTAACTTAGTACTTTTTAATGCATGTAACATATGTAACATTAAGCTGCCTGTGGCTCTTTTCTGCTGTAACAATGTAAATGTCCCCTCTGTGGGACTAACAAAGGTATTCTGATCTGATGACTCATTGTGTTGATATTCAGGATTGAAATCAAGACCTTCTTGTTTGACAATTTATCCTAATAAAAATCACATAAATATTCAAAGATCCTCTGTTGTATTGCCTGCAAACAGTCTTCCTGATGCATACAGAACATTTGAATACATTATTGAAATACTTATATATATGCAACAAGACTAACTAAATGTAGCAGTATAGTTACATCAAGCTTCATTTTTTAAAGTAACGTTTATATTAACAGTAGCGCTGTAAAATAACTAAGTCGATTTTTTTCAAGCACTGTACTTAAGTACTATTTTGAAGGGACTTGTACTTTACTTGAATTATTTGCTACTTCTATCCCACTACAATTTAGAGGTACATCGTTGACTTTTATTCCACTCTATTTATTTAGTACCATAAGTTACTTTGCAGAATTTGATTAACGATGGAAAATTAATCAACACTTAAATAAGACTTTAGTTACACTTGGAGTAAATTAACAAGCTACACAAAGTAAAATCACTCCACCTTTACCAGCTTCGATAAACACATGAATGCATCAATAATTATAATCAACACGTATGATATATGATTCTGAAATGGTCCAATCTGCATAATTAGCACTTTTAGTATATTTTGATGCTAATACTTTTGTACTTTGGTAACATTTGCAATGCAGTACTTTTACTTGTACCAACTGTATTCAACTCTTCAATGTCTTAAAGCTGCTTGCGCTAACAATACCTCCAATAACATAAACACAAGGACCACATAGGTGTGTCTCAATGTTTGTGTAAACATGTATAATTATAATAATAATAATAAATAATATATACTAATTGCAGTTATTCTAAAGTAAATGGACACACGTTAAAATTAGTAGGTTTCGACGCGTTAGCATTAACTAGCTAACTAGCTGCATAACGATAGCTATATTTGGCTGACTAGCTACTAGCTAGCTAGATGACTAGCATTGGCTACAAGTTCGCATTCCCCTCGACCTTTCAATGATGTGTTGACTAAGAACCATACCTTTAATGTTGTAGATGTATTAAAATGCTGTAGACCTCTGCTGGTTTCTTGAAAAGAACCCGCTAGTAACTGAATCAAAACAGCCGTCGTCGGTGTTTTGGATCCTCAATGTTATCAAACACGGCCTCAGATGTGACCGCGCCAATCAGAAGCCTGAACACGCATACGCCCATATCAACGCCCCACAGTGAAGATGATTGGTCGACAAGATAGTGAATGATAGCTATATGCACCAATCAGCAATCATGGAATACTGCATAGATTGAGAAGCATCGTTTACGTTAGTCATTTGAGGCGTAAATGTTTAGCACATATTAAATGTACCTTATCACAAATGGAGAGTTTATCATTGACTTGCAATATGATATTAAAGAGTAGTTTTATACAAACTCCTATTTCTTTCATCTTGACATACAGTACAACAATGTATGTCAAATGTTCATCATTAAGTGTAAAGTTTAAGAACTGCAATAGCAGATTGTGTTCAAGCAGAAGGTGTGAAAGCTTTACCACCAGTTAATGAAGACGGACCTTTTGTGAAAATGTGCTGCTCTGAAATGTGCTGGCATTTTTATTGTTTTTATAGCATTAAGACTAGTACACAGGGGCGCCGTAAGGGGGTGAAAAGTTAGGACGATTCTAAGGGCCCGTGACTGACAGGGGCCCCAAAAAGTGTAGAACATTAAGAAAAAATATTTAAGTAACCTTTCATCAATCATCAATAATTAACATTAATATAACATTATATTGATAATACAATCACTAAACTTACGATTCATTTCATTTTTTTTGTTCGAAAAGTTAATTATCCAAAGCCTCTGTATACCCCACTCTATTTACATGTAATGGTTTGGTCCTGTCTCCAAACGCTGTGCGGCACCGTTCTTTCTAGCAGAGTGAGAGCATGTGAGGCAGGGATGCGAGTACTTACGTGTGTACGATGTCTCAACGACTAACAAAGTCAGGCTTTCAAAAAAGAAAAGAAAGGAGAGAAAGACAAGAGAGAGTGACAGTATGTCACCCAGTTTTGCTCTGATTTAACACCGTGTTAAATCAGAGCAAAACTGGGTGACATACTGTCACTCTCTCTTGTCTTTCTCTCCTTTCTTTTCTTTTTTGAAAGCCTGACTTTGTTAGTCGTTGANTGAGCTCAGTCCCCTTTTTTTTTTTTTCTTTTTTTTTTTTTAAAGCTTTATATCCAAAATCAGCACTTTTGAAACAGGAAGTGAAATAGAGGGATATGAGGCATGGCTAGAATGGGTGATCTGTTTGGTATGTTTTATATATCTGAGACCTATGCTATTGCCTAAAAATAGCATGATAGGTGCACTTTAAGGATTGACAAACGCATTTTAAATATCTTCCAAATGGCCATAAAAGGTTGAGAAACTTTGCCCAAAGCAATAAAAACAATACTATTCTGCATTTACATATATAGACCTTTCAGATTCAAGATCTTTAATTAACAATTTTGTGAAAGCATATAAAGAAAGTGAACTTCTTCTGTTTCCGATGTCCCCCATTACACTGACATGGGGGTCATATTGCTTTAAAGTGCATCAAAGCTGCTGCAGGTCTCCCCCTCCTCAGACCAGACTGAAGCCCTCGTACTGCTCCACAGCCCGGGTCAGGCGGCGGTGCAGGATCTCTTTGGTCTGGTAGCGGGGCATGTCCAGCAGGTTGTAGCAGGTGTGGGCGACCGGCAGGTAGTGCTCCTCCGCTGTGGTCGACTGGATCACGATGCGCATGCTCTCCATGCCGTGGATGGGGATACGGTCGCTGCCCGTCAGGAACACTGCAGGCAGGACATAGAGGGCAGAGTTGCAAAAAATAATGTTTTGAACCGTCCCATATGCCGATATATATGGTATTTATATAATGCTTGTAAACAAAGTAAAGTATTACAATTTAACCCATGACAGCCTGATACCATGCAATGTATTGGTTTGACCTTAAACCCTAAATGGGTTAATTTTCTTGCTCATGGACAGTTTGACAGTAACTAGGATAACACCTCTATCCTTTACAAGATCTCTCTTCCTTCTCTAAGGCTAATGGCTGCAAAAACAACGTGGGAAAGTTACTTATTTGCTTTTCCACCTTGTGACACACAGGATTAATTTACCACAGAGATCTTGAAATGATTGTCAACATGTTGAGGCTTTTTGTCGAAGCCAAATGTTTGCGCAGGTAATATATTGTCATGCACGAGGAACAAAATGCACACACAGTATTCATAAGTTGTCTGAGAGAGAGAGAGTGTGAGTATTAAACTGTCATGCACATTGAGGCGTTTAAATACTTACATAAGAACTGCTTCTTCTGCTCCAGAGGGAACTCGTGGAAAACTTCCCAGAACAATCTGACAGTTGGATGGGTGGCTGTATATTCCCCTTTGTACACAGCATTCTGCGAAGAGAAAAGATTTCAGCCAAATTTAGAATTATTGCCTTGAATTATCTATATAACAATAACAATCACTGTACTGTACTGTCCTCCTGATGGTGTTTCTAATCAAAAGTAGTCAGCCAGCCAAACTCCCAAATAATGGACTTTTTTATTTTTATGGAAGATTATACGTATAGCTCGTCAAAACCACACACTGACCTTCTCCATCTCTTCCCAGTTGTAGTTGTTGTTGCCGACCACCATGGCCATCAGCTCAGAGGGCTGGAACAGCGACAGGATCTCCCCGCCGCACACCTTCAGGAAGCCTGAAGAGAAGGCCGCATACTCGTCGCTCACCGAGTCCGAGAACACGTAGCGCAGGTAGGCCTCCACGAACTCTTTCCTGAAAAACACACCGCCACACGCACGTTAAGTAAACATTTAGATGTACTAAATTGTTCCTCGCAGCAGCTGCATCCTCAAATATTAGTTTATAAGGAAAGAGTCAGACGTCAAGGTTGTAAACACTCACTTCCTTCTTTTGTGTGTGGGTGAAAGTATGTCAGTTCTTCTCTAAATACAAGAATCAAAGCATCAGTGAGGTGTTAGAGCAAGTAAACAAACAATAAATATATATACTTTTAATTGGTGATGAATTTTGTCTACATATTTATCACCAATACTTTGAAATCTGGTGACGGGACAACACCTAGTTTTGTGCGATGCATTGTGTATACTCTCTCTCAAAAAGGTCAAAAGTGAAATATTTACACAAGTCCCGTAGATTGGAAGTTCTGTGTGAAAGACATTGCAATTTACTACATTTGTAAAATGAAAAGTACTGAAGGTCCATCTTCTTAATTTAGTATTCACCCATAATGGATCATACTACCACTAATCTAGAAAACTGTCCTTAATTAAATGATGACTTGCATTTTTATGATAACATGCCATCAAAAGATACCGGTAAAACAGGAAAAGCTACGAAATAAGGAAGCAAGCAAACTTTTTTACTGAGGAGTTATTTAGGCTTCTTATAAAACCTGATCTTTAGCTTTCTATAACAAACCACAATATGTACAAGAGCTACAAAACCTTTGAAAACAAACACTGTCCAACAAAAACAGATCATACCCACAGAGTTTAGAAAGCCTGAAAACAAACTTTCAGTTTAAATGAACATCTCTCCTCCAGGGTTCTGATGTTTTACACCGCAGCAGCTACAATGTTCTCTGTTATTTTTGTTATAATGTTCGTATCGAATTGTCGAGGGGATTTTGCAGGAACATCTTAGGTCACTGCCTCTCTTGCCATCTGTTTAGCAGTCAGACGTGCCGACACTACCCCCTCCCCCCCGCCAACTCTCTGTGGACTCCTCAACACAACACTGTAATCAATGGTACTGGCTCAAGGTCAAGCAACAGGGATGTTATGGTGGAGACGAACACGCTAAATGACACTTAAAATACAGACATTTTAGTTTTCAACACGGAACATGACCTTCAGTTGGAACAATAGGACACAATCTACCAGCTGTTTGAGCGAAATGATAATCTCAGCACTGGAAAAACAACAGAAATTAAAAGCCCAGAATCATCTGTTTGTCTTTTAGACCTGGACTGAGTGCGGAGCATTAAACAAATTAATGGAACCAGGTCATTTAAAATGGAACATCAAGTGAAGAACAAGCTGACACATTTATTTAAAAAAAGATCTATTCTCCTTAAATTGTTACATGAACTATCAACATTTATAAATAAACTGTATGTCACCTGTTGTTTTTGTCCACGCTGATGCTCTCTCCTCCGGGAACGAGCTCTTTGACTTCTGTCATCCCATAATTCTCTCTGGTGATCTGGGACATGAACACACGTACATGATATTCAATTAAGGTTGTGTACGTTTTTACATTTTAGGAGGGAAGTGTAGACATTTGTTTATGTCAACAAATCCCATAAAAAGGCTTTTACTAATATCTAATCTCTGTAGGAACAGTTTAATGTGCTCCACCATTTGCTAAAACACGCTTAAAAATGTGTTCAACATTTTTGCAAACACAGCGATTTACTTTTTTAAATACTTTTGTTAAAAACATCTTGTTATGTAACATCAATGTGCTTAAATAAATGTTAGATAAATACAGCCACACACATTTAATTGTATTCAGAAACCTACAACTGAAGCATTTAGGGGCGGTGGTGGCGAAGTCGATAGGGACTTGGCTTGGCAACTGGAAAGTCACCAGTTCAAGTCCCGGCAAGACCAAGTGCTAACGAGGTGTCCCTGAGCAAGGCACCGTTCCCTACACTGCTCCCCGGGCGCCGTTCAAAATGGCAGCACACTGCTCCTAACACTAGGATGGGTAAAATGCAGAGAAACAATTTCCCCACGGGGATTAATAAAGTATATCAAAATCAAAAAAAAAAAGAAATCAAAAAATGTAGAAACCTGTATTATTCATATTTATTTATATATGTCTGTCTCTATAAAAATAACTCAAGCTCTTTAAAATCGGAGATCTCACATTTTATTGTTTGTGTACAACCTTGAACTCCTTGAAAATCAATGCAACTCACCACACTGTATCTGTGGCTTGTGTCTTTTTGCCAGGTTTATGATATCGATCCCCTTTATTTTCCAGCTGTTATATTAATTGATAGCTCAATACATTTGGGGTTTAACAATCATCTGAAAATATATTCTTTCACTTCAGGGTTTATCATTTTAAAGAGATATTTGAAGTCAACAATAGGTATTTAAGTCTGTCTCTACCCACATACCCCAAGCTATTCAGAGTTAAATTATGAAAAGAGAGATCTTACACACATTTCTGTATGTGTACAACCTTGAACTCCTTGAAAATCAATGCGACTCACCACGCTGTGTATCTGCGGCTTGCGTCTCTTTGCCAGGTCTATGACATTGATCCCGTTGTAGTAGAGGTTTTCCATGCAGCCGAGGAAGTTCTTCCTCAGAAAGGTGCCAGGTTTGCCAGGAAGTGGGATGCCTCCAAAACTCAGCTTTAATGAAAGGGAAACAGAAGAACCATTAGCACAAGATGCACAGCTGAGCAAAAACAAACAAGTAAACAAATATAAATTCACAATCTGTATTTTACTGTACTGTATGTTCAATTATCACAGTCTTAAAATACATGCACAGACATATTCTCACTGGTGTGATTCAGCAAGTGAGAAAACAACGCCCACTCACAGGATCCAGACATATACAGAGCGTCTATATGCATACAGTTGGCCTATTGTGGTCTGGGGCTGTTGTTCACCGTTTGGCATATGTTCTTGAGTTTCTAACAAAAGGGAATTTTAAGGGCAACAGCAGCTTGAGAAATATGTTTTTTCTTTTAAATTGGAAAAAAACACCCATGCACACAAAAAGGTGTCTTAAACTAAAGTTTTTTTTTTCAGATTTGTGTGTGGAAGAACTTGGCTGGCCTGCACACAGCCGATCATGCAAGCTGAGTGCGAGCCAGAACTTATCAACCCAACATCAGCGTTGGACTCCACTAATGCTCATGTTGCTGAATGGAAGCTAATCCGTGCAGCCGGGTTCCAAAACCTCTCTTTGAAAGCCATCCAAGACAAGTGCAGGCTGTTATAGCAGCAGATTAATCACATTGTGGAGCTAGCAAATAAATCTTAGCTACCTGCTCAAAAAAAGGTCTCAGGCTAATGCAATGCATGGTTAGTTAGGAATGAGCTCTGTCAACACTAAAATAATCTATTGCACCGTACAATCCTCTGACTTTCTGTACTGCCTGTGCCTTAACCTGCGGCTGTCTAGTTGGTGTGCAATATGTATGTTTTGTTTTATTGTTTTTATTAGCATAATGTATATAGATGCTTATAATACAAGCATTTATGTTGTGTGTTTTTACTGATTGTATTTACAAGTTTTTTTAATTTCGTTTTTCAGCGTCAACAGATCAAAAATACCTCTTGGCTAACTAGTGAATTTACAGAAATGTTGAATAGTGTGAACTGTCCCTAATAAACTATGAATTATAAATATAATAATAATAATGATAATACAATATTTTAAAAAGATAACTCCTTTAAAGATTGTTAAATATGCACTGGATGACACATACATTATATCATATTTAATGCCTAGCTAAAGTTGGTAAACTATGATTTGACTAATACTTTCCAAGGGAGGGGTTTAGTCAACATCTAAATACCTTAAAGGGGACCTATCATGCAAAATGCACTTTTGTACGTCTTTTATACATGAATATGTGTCCCCGGTGCGTCAGGGAACTCACCAAGTGTCAGAAAACACAACCCTCTCTTTTCCTCCATACCCAAATCTCTAAAAACGGGGCTGCAACGGATCTGATACAGACTGATCCAGATTAGAAATTGTTCTGACGCCAGAAACAAGGAGCTCCGCCTATATGGGCAACTCTCCACCTATCAGGGGAATGAGAGGTTGCTGTGGCATGGTAACAGCATGGTAACAGCATGGTAACATGACGCTCGTGCCTCGCCCCCCTCCTTTGCAGGGGGGCGAGGTCAGCTGCAGCTCATTTGCCACAGAATCAGCCCTTGCAAATACAGGGCTGGAATAGAGCAAATAGAGCAAAATGAGGCATGGCTAAAATGCATGATCTGTTTGGTATTTTTAGGGCCACTTTAAATGACTGTAGTAAGGCACATTTAATAATCTCTTGAAATATGTTTTGGAATGTTCTCGAATAAAATGGAAAAACAAAGTTCACACAGCACTCAATGTGGAAAGACACAATGTCAAAGCTAAGGGTAGGCAGTACATTTCTGCTTCCTTTGGTCAAAAAATCTATTTAACCTTTAAGAAAATTGAAATAAAAATCTGAGAGAAAATGTGACTTTTGCAGCTTCTTTTGGCTATGTAAAGAGGGCGTTCCTATTTGCTGTTCTACAAATAGAGATGTGTGCACATATCTCTTTGGACGATGAAAGCCTGATACTATTGAAGCATTGTCAACAACGGCTTACACTGCAACTCAACCCCAAAAAGAAAGATGGACTTTGGATGGAGTCTGACAATGTTGGCGGATCGTTTCAGAGATGGAGAGAAAATGGTGCGAATAGTTTAACCTTTCTACTCAAGCCTCACGGATACGGTAGCTATACGGAGTAGCTCGGGGCAAGCAATAAAATTCCTTTTCATCTCTGAAAAGCATTGCTGCTTCTGTAGCTTGCTTATACTTAGAGCCATTCACAGTTTGGAAAGAAAAGAGGAAGGTATGGCTAATAGAATTGCAGCTATATGAATGTATCTGGAACACAATCACGATCTGGATGATGTTAAAAATTAATGACAGCACTCGTACAGGTTGCTGTATGAATACCATGCATATTCCTGTGCTCGTCTGTTGGGAGAAGCTCAGGTCAGAGAGGGGAGGGTTGCCGGATGAAAGCTGTATTTTCAAATTCTGTTTTACCTGTACCTCGGGTACCACTTGAATTACAATTTGTTGAAAGTTTATCATGGATAGTTTGCCCTATAGCGTTAAAAAGGAACTGCCTCTCCCTGCTTTACATGCAGTGCAAAGGTCTGTAGAGGTTGACAGTCCACTTGAAAGTCCTTTGAGACAACGACAAAAAACATCTCTGCTCCTTTTCTGTTTCTTTGTTTACTTTCATTCATAATTAAAATCAAAATGCCTCTTCCAAGGGCTTGCAGTCAACATAATAGATGCTGTTTACTACAACACTCCAAGGCTCATCACAATGATATTAATGATAGATTTCTCACTCTATCTGGTTGACTTCAGATATATATATATATTCACTTTTACAAAGCCGCTGTTGTGTAATTTAAACATCCCATTGACTCACCTCGTAGTCCACCTCCAGAGAGTGTCCTTCTCCTTTGGTTTGGAAGTGCTGTGTGTGGGAGTCCACTGTGAGGTTAACCTGCTTGTTGAAGCGCTCTATGTGAACAGAGTGCCACTGCTGATCATCCAGCAGACTGCCCACAGTGACTGCAACACGCCCGCTGCTGAACCTCAGCCTGCTGTCGTCTGCACAAACACAAAGACAGCGGCAGGAAAGCAGTGAGCAGCTTTACATCTTCCACAGTGAACCTGTAAATACTTGAGGGCAGAAAGCCAGAGCTCAGGAGTAAAAAGGACATTAACAGGCACTTTTATTTCATTTATATACACTTAGATGATTATTTGATTTTGATATTGAATATGCAACAGCACTGACTCTTATCTTTGCCTTTTGCCGTAACATTATTTCCCTGCTGCGACAAATAGGGATCGTTAGGCAGGGGCGCAGATAGTGGGGGGGACGGGGGGATAGCTTTCCCCCCAATTTCATAGGGACACTGATCCGGCCCCCCATTTAAATAAAAAATATATATATTTAGATTTTTTTTTTTTATCGTTTTTTTCAATATATAGTATATATATATATATATTCAGTATATAGTAATATAATATATTCACATGATCGTTGTAATATGCATATATCAGGGTTCATACATTTTTTCACCAATGATTTTCAATGACTTCTCCATGACCTTTACCTCATTTTCCATGACCAAAAAAAATGACTCTTTCTTTCATGTGGCTAGCATGCGCTGCCTCGCCCATATTCGAAATATCGAATATGTTACAACACAGTTTGCATTTAGCACGTCTTGGGTCAATGTCTTTTGATAGCCACAATTGGTACTTATCCTTTAGAAGCCATACATTGTTGAAACTGCACTTCCCTGGCATCTTGGCAGCCTTATATCAAATAGTAGCTCCTGTAGACTAGAGGGCGTGATTGTAAACATCTCTCACCAGATAAATACTGCCACAGTTGCCATTTTACATTTCATTACTATATGATACAGTATTTATAATCATTAAAGTATTACTGTTTCGGTGATTAGATCAAATATAAATTATATTTGATGCAACTTTAGTAATATTTCCATGACTTTTCCAAAACTTTGGGAAAAATATTGTTTTCCATAACTTTTCCAGGGCCTGGAATTTGCATTTTGAATTTCCATGACTTATTCAGGTTTTTAATGACCGTACGAACCCTGATATATAGATTACTTATTGTTAATTGTTATTCCTCTAAATTGTTATTTCCTCAAACGGCTTAATAAAT